GAATGGAAATATCAAAAGCGCTAGACTCGGCTGAACTTTACAAATATCAGTGTGTCACAGTACGCCAGGAAATCTCCCCCTGCAAACTCGGCTTGACGGCTGTGGAGCTCTATTGGAGACGGTAAATGCCAGAAAGCTGCAGTACCCCATGTTGAGGGTTACGGCAATGATCAGAGCTGGGTAAACGCTTGGTGACCTGTTGACCAATGGCAAAAATATGACTGATGAAGTCCAGACTTGAGATCGCCATCGTATGAAATATAAATATGGACTTTACAGTTTATTTTTGTTAGTAAACTCATTATTGGTTTTTCTGAAGCGATAGTGAGAACTAGATAGTGACAGAAAATTGCTTTGCATTGAAATGGATAATTCAGCCAGGGAACTTCATGCATACAGTTGAGAGAACTCAATAATGGATAATCATTTTCATAAATGGTTCTTTGCTCTGTTATTCTGGTGCCTAAAGCAATAAGAGAAAACAGACACAATACAAGCGAACCTATTGTCTTGGAAACATACTGGAAAAATACAACAATAAATCAGCAAGACAGAAAGGTGTCTAAAACCCATTATAGTACTATTGTACTATACTATCTTTATACAATATTATAGCACTATTAGAGTTTTTATTAATATTGTGAATTAGCTTTAATTTGTATATTTACATTTTTAATTTACATTTTTGTTTTATTCATATTATTATATTCTTTTGTATTTTTTTTTATATATTTTATATAGCTTTATTTGACTTTTAGTCATTTTAGTACTTCAACTTATTTGAGTCATTAGTTATTTTAGCATTTCTTTTTTAATAGGCCTATTTATATTTTATTTAATTTTCAGTCAGTGTTCACAAGGTTTTTTTTTGTGTGTGTGTGTGCCTTGGCTGGTTTTGTTCCCCAACACTTTATTACCTTTGTTATGTTAAAAATATGAGCAACTTATAAGCTTTCTTATGAAAATAATATAAGCTTTCTCATGTTGAAAATATAATAATATAGCAAAAATACAAACGTATTGTTTGTATTATTGCAACAAATAATTTTTATGGAGTAGTTATATCAGTGTGCGGACAATACGTTTGTATTTTTGCTATAGTTTGACTTTTGTCTTGCACCTGAGCCCTGTGTAGGTTTGTGGGATGTGCGCAACTTTTTTATACTTTGAAAATATAATAATAAGCAGCTAATAATAATAATTATAATAATTACAGTAAATAATAGTAGCACTTTAAAATAAGATTTGATTTGTTTATAAACAATCAACAGTTTTTACAGCATTTATTTACATTTATTAGCATAAAATATATCTAGATTGATGGGAAATTAAATACACTGTGTTGTTTATTAATTTATGTTCATTAATAATGCATTAATGTAGGGTTAGTTTTAATCCTGACAGCAGTTCTGTGTTCTTCCAGCAGGGGGCTCTGATGTTACGACCATACAGTAGTTATTGAAAGGCTCCCCGTGTTTGAGTCGTGAAGTAAGGGCCTGTATTGTACAATTACGTTGTGCTCCCTGTAGCCCACATTAAACTCCCCGTAACATAAGCTCTGAGTGTGGCTAAACAGGCATTAGGCAGCGAGACACCATGCCTGGAATGGATGGCATGTCTAATACAATGTGCTCAGAATACACATGTAAATGTCAGGTGATGTATTGCAGTCCTTGGTTTCCATGTAATCAAACCCACCCAGTTTCCATCTTGGCACTTGTTAGCATTCATGCCGAAACATAAAGCATGATTTATTTATCGTCCCAAGCTAATACCATGCATGTCATGAGCTCTGTGTCAATGCGTTTTGTCTCTTTGTCTGTCTTTTATAGTAAAACGGAGGTGGCGACCGTTGAGACGGAGCTCCTCAGGGACTATCACTTTGGACAACAGCAGCTGATTGAAATATGGGGCCATGCTTGCGCTATTGCCATCACGAAGGTTTGTCCGACAAGTGAACACGAATTACACTATTGTGAAGTGGCAATCCTGTATTTACTGTACACAAGCATTGCTGTGATTTACACAACTCTCTGCATTTACCGCTCCCAGCGTCTGTTGGCATTTGCCGAACTTCAGCCAATCCTCTAAAGAGACGAGGCCCTGCTGCATTTGATGATGAAAACAGCGGGAAATCTTTGATCTCGCCGTTTCTGTATAGAGGGTTTGACCACATCTGCTGCTTTGGGGGTTTTCTCATGAAAAGGGGTTAAAGAATGATCCAGAATAGCAATCTGGCACTTTCGCTTCAAAACAGACAACAACGAAAAAAGATTTCGTATCTGTCTGTTAGACATAAAGTCGTAAATGTCAGATATGAAGTCACAATTACAAGACAAATTCGCAATTATGAAGAACAAAATGATGTTGTGAGATTAAAAATTGCAGTTACGTAATATAATGACAATTTTTGAGCTATAAATGTGCAATTGTGAGAAATAGTCACAATTACAAGAAATATTGCAATTATAAGTTACAAAACATTGTAATTATGCGAAATAGTTGCAGTATTGAGTAAAAAGTTGCAATTGTGAAATATTAATTCACATTGTGAGAGACTGTATAAAGCCAAAATCTTTAAGACATAAATTTGCAGTTACGAGAAATAGTCGCAATTATCCACCTTTTTCTTGCCGTAAAAATGGGCGCGGCATTTGTAAATTCTATGGGTCTAGCTTCCGGTCTCATCCGCGTCCAGCTATTTTTATCTGTACAGAACCTCTCCATTTGCTGCTTGATATTGAAAATTGGTGTGTCTTAACATATTATTTTAATGTATTATCTTAACACACTGGTTTGTAGTGCAAACCGTTTTACCGTTTACTGCATGTTGTTATTCTTCTCGCTATTTCCCTCTTGCGGTTAATGAACCGGAAGTCTCGCCCATAGGCTTACTTCCACATTGAAGAAAAAGGTGGATAGGAAATGTCACAATTAGGAGTTACAAAAAGTCGTAATTATAATAAATAGTTGCAAATCAATGAAAAAGCCTCAATTGTGAAATATTAATTCACATCGTGAGTTACTATATAGCCACAATCTCTGAGATATAAATGTGCAATTACGAGAAATAGTCACAATTATGTTACAATGAGTTGCAAAAAGTCGTAATTATGAATTATAACAGTTGCAAATCTATAAAAAAAAGCCTAAACTGTAAAATATGAAGTAACCTTGTGGGATATAAAGTTACAATTACTAAGATATCAAAATTTGCAATTTTAAGAAATGTTGCAAAAAAGTGACGATTATGTGAAGTAGTTGCAGTTCTGAGGAAAAAAGTCGTAATTGCGATATATGAAGTCACACTGCGAGATGTAGTCAGAATTTCTGAGATATAAATGTGCACTTACAAGAAATGTCGCAATTAAGTCTCAAAAAGCCAGAATTATGAGAAACGTTTTCAGTTCTGAGAACAAAGGTGCACTTGTGAAATATGAAGTCACTTTGTGAGGTGGATTCAGTTTCTAAGATATAAATTTGTGATGAGAAATTGTCACAATTACAAGAAATGTGCCAATTATGAGTCGCAGAAAGTAATACTTTTAAAATATATATATAGTGAAATATGAAGTCACATAGAGAGATATAAAGTTGCAATTATGGGGACAACTTTTTGGGGACAACTCTACTATTTGTAGAAAGCCAAAATTTGGAGAAATACAGTGTGTGTGTGTATATATATATATATATATACTGGGGGAGATGCTAACACAAACCTGTTGTCATTTTTAGAGCCTCTGGTACTTTGGTTCTTTATTTGCATTGAAGAACCTTTAACATCCATGGAACCTCTCCATTGCACATAAGGTTTTTTTATAGTGGAAAAAGGTTCTTCACACTGAGAAAAAAAATTGTTCTTTTAAGAACTGTTCACTTAAAGTTTCTTTGGGTAACCAAAAATGGCTCTTCTGTGGCATTGTTGTGAAAACCCCCATTTGTACACTCTTAAAAATAAAGGTTCTTTACATCTGCGGTTCGATGAAGAACCTTTATGAAACCTTTCGATTCTACAAAAAGTTCTTTAGATTTTTAAAATGTTCTTCACACTAAAAAAGTGATCTTTTAAGAACTGTTCACCCAAAGTTCTTTGGGGAACCCAAAATGGTTCTTCTATGGCCTCCTTTTGGAACATTTACAGGCTAAGCTTTCCATTGTACAAAAGGTTCTTTATAGTTGAAAAATATTCATTAGATTAGATTATTAAAATGCTCTTCAAACTTTAAGAGTTATTCATTGAAAACCTCTTCAGGGAACCAAAACTCGTTCTTATATGGAATCACTGTGAACACCCCCTTTTGGAAAATAAATTATTAAGGGTGTAGATAGAACCTTTCCATTACATAAAAGATTCTTTAGGTTTTTTTAATAGACTTTATTCACACTAAGATAAAATATAAAGAACTGTTTACTAAAATATTCCAAAAGAGGAACCAAAATGGTTCTTCTGTGGCATCACTGCAAAAAACCCTTTTGAAGCCTTAATTGCTAAGACTGTAGATGAGCTGATATATGTTAAGTGACCTAATAATGTAATGTGATTTGGACTGGTGGGTGATCTGGATGCTGGGCGAACACTCTGAGCCACGCTGTCCCCTAGTGGTGAGATTTGCTCTTTGCAATCGATCCACTACAAAGAAGCCTAACTTAAGACTCAGGGATGCATTGAAATTGTTTTAATGCTCAAGAGATATTAAGTGAAGCTTTTCTTTGCAGGCCAAAAACCGTTTCTACATACTGGAAACATTACAAGGTTGAGGCTTGAGATTTCTGGGCTTTATCTTGTCCCTGGAACCTTTCAGAGAACTTTGGAAATATATGGTTGTCAGGACTTCCCTGAATAGGTCGATGGGAATGGAAATATCAAAAGCGCTAGACTCGGCTGAACTTTACAAATATCAGTGTGTCACAGTACGCCAGGAAATCTCCCCCTGCAAACACGGCTTGACGGCTGTGGAGCTCTATTGGAGACGGTAAATGCCAGAAAGCTGGAGTACCCCATGTTGAGGGTTACGGCAATGATCAGAGCTGGGTAAACGCTTGGTGACCTGTTGACCAATGGCAAAAATATGACTGATGAAGTCCAGACTTGAGATCGCCATCGTATGAAATATAAATATGGACTTTACAGTTTATTTTTGTTAGTAAACTCATTATTGGTTTTTCTGAAGCGATAGTGAGAACTAGATAGTGACAGAAAATTGCTTTGCATTGAAATGGATAATTCAGCCAGGGAACTTCATGCATACAGTTGAGAGAACTCAATAATGGATAATCATTTTCATAAATGGTTCTTTGCTCTGTTATTCTGGTGCCTAAAGCAATAAGAGAAAACAGACACAATACAAGCGAACCTATTGTCTTGGAAACATACTGGAAAAATACAACAATAAATCAGCAAGACAGAAAGGTGTCTAAAACCCATTATAGTACTATTGTACTATACTATCTTTATACAATATTATAGCACTATTAGAGTTTTTATTAATATTGTGAATTAGCTTTAATTTGTATATTTACATTTTTAATTTACATTTTTGTTTTATTCATATTATTATATTCTTTTGTATTTTTTTTATATATTTTATATAGCTTTATTTGACTTTTAGTCATTTTAGTACTTCAACTTATTTGAGTCATTAGTTATTTTAGCATTTCTTTTTTAATAGGCCTATTTATATTTTATTTAATTTTCAGTCAGTGTTCACAAGGTTTTTTTTTGTGTGTGTGTGTGCCTTGGCTGGTTTTGTTCCCCAACACTTTATTACCTTTGTTATGTTAAAAATATGAGCAACTTATAAGCTTTCTTATGAAAATAATATAAGCTTTCTCATGTTGAAAATATAATAATATAGCAAAAATACAAACGTATTGTTTGTATTATTGCAACAAATAATTTTTATGGAGTAGTTATATCAGTGTGCGGACAATACGTTTGTATTTTTGCTATAGTTTGACTTTTGTCTTGCACCTGAGCCCTGTGTAGGTTTGTGGGATGTGCGCAACTTTTTTATACTTTGAAAATATAATAATAAGCAGCTAATAATAATAATTATAATAATTACAGTAAATAATAGTAGCACTTTAAAATAAGATTTGATTTGTTTATAAACAATCAACAGTTTTTACAGCATTTATTTACATTTATTAGCATAAAATATATCTAGATTGATGGGAAATTAAATACACTGTGTTGTTTATTAATTTATGTTCATTAATAATGCATTAATGTAGGGTTAGTTTTAATCCTGACAGCAGTTCTGTGTTCTTCCAGCAGGGGGCTCTGATGTTACGACCATACAGTAGTTATTGAAAGGCTCCCCGTGTTTGAGTCGTGAAGTAAGGGCCTGTATTGTACAATTACGTTGTGCTCCCTGTAGCCCACATTAAACTCCCCGTAACATAAGCTCTGAGTGTGGCTAAACAGGCATTAGGCAGCGAGACACCATGCCTGGAATGGATGGCATGTCTAATACAATGTGCTCAGAATACACATGTAAATGTCAGGTGATGTATTGCAGTCCTTGGTTTCCATGTAATCAAACCCACCCAGTTTCCATCTTGGCACTTGTTAGCATTCATGCCGAAACATAAAGCATGATTTATTTATCGTCCCAAGCTAATACCATGCATGTCATGAGCTCTGTGTCAATGCGTTTTGTCTCTTTGTCTGTCTTTTATAGTAAAACGGAGGTGGCGACCGTTGAGACGGAGCTCCTCAGGGACTATCACTTTGGACAACAGCAGCTGATTGAAATATGGGGCCATGCTTGCGCTATTGCCATCACGAAGGTTTGTCCGACAAGTGAACACGAATTACACTATTGTGAAGTGGCAATCCTGTATTTACTGTACACAAGCATTGCTGTGATTTACACAACTCTCTGCATTTACCGCTCCCAGCGTCTGTTGGCATTTGCCGAACTTCAGCCAATCCTCTAAAGAGACGAGGCCCTGCTGCATTTGATGATGAAAACAGCGGGAAATCTTTGATCTCGCCGTTTCTGTATAGAGGGTTTGACCACATCTGCTGCTTTGGGGGTTTTCTCATGAAAAGGGGTTAAAGAATGATCCAGAATAGCAATCTGGCACTTTCGCTTCAAAACAGACAACAACGAAAAAAGATTTCGTATCTGTCTGTTAGACATAAAGTCGTAAATGTCAGATATGAAGTCACAATTACAAGACAAATTCGCAATTATGAAGAACAAAATGATGTTGTGAGATTAAAAATTGCAGTTACGTAATATAATGACAATTTTTGAGCTATAAATGTGCAATTGTGAGAAATAGTCACAATTACAAGAAATATTGCAATTATAAGTTACAAAACATTGTAATTATGCGAAATAGTTGCAGTATTGAGTAAAAAGTTGCAATTGTGAAATATTAATTCACATTGTGAGAGACTGTATAAAGCCAAAATCTTTAAGACATAAATTTGCAGTTACGAGAAATAGTCGCAATTATCCACCTTTTTCTTGCCGTAAAAATGGGCGCGGCATTTGTAAATTCTATGGGTCTAGCTTCCGGTCTCATCCGCGTCCAGCTATTTTTATCTGTACAGAACCTCTCCATTTGCTGCTTGATATTGAAAATTGGTGTGTCTTAACATATTATTTTAATGTATTATCTTAACACACTGGTTTGTAGTGCAAACCGTTTTACCGTTTACTGCATGTTGTTATTCTTCTCGCTATTTCCCTCTTGCGGTTAATGAACCGGAAGTCTCGCCCATAGGCTTACTTCCACATTGAAGAAAAAGGTGGATAGGAAATGTCACAATTAGGAGTTACAAAAAGTCGTAATTATAATAAATAGTTGCAAATCAATGAAAAAGCCTCAATTGTGAAATATTAATTCACATCGTGAGTTACTATATAGCCACAATCTCTGAGATATAAATGTGCAATTACGAGAAATAGTCACAATTATGTTACAATGAGTTGCAAAAAGTCGTAATTATGAATTATAACAGTTGCAAATCTATAAAAAAAAGCCTAAACTGTAAAATATGAAGTAACCTTGTGGGATATAAAGTTACAATTACTAAGATATCAAAATTTGCAATTTTAAGAAATGTTGCAAAAAAGTGACGATTATGTGAAGTAGTTGCAGTTCTGAGGAAAAAAGTCGTAATTGCGATATATGAAGTCACACTGCGAGATGTAGTCAGAATTTCTGAGATATAAATGTGCACTTACAAGAAATTAAGTCATTAAGTCTCAAAAAGCCAGAATTATGAGAAACGTTTTCAGTTCTGAGAACAAAGGTGCACTTGTGAAATACTTTGTGAGAGATATAAAATATATATACACGCGCACATATATATATATATATATATATATATATATATATATATATATATATACTCACACACACACAATATATATATATACACACACACTATATATATATATATACTCACACACACACAATATATATATATACACACACACTATATATATATATATATATATATATATATAAACAATAGCAATTATTTATATATATATATATATATATATATAAATAAATAAATATATATATATATATACACAAATATATAAAGAAATACAATAGCAATTATTTTTTTAATTGTTTTTATTTATTTATATATTTTTAGTCTAAGGCAGAAATAGGCTTCCATACAAAAGGGTTACAAAAAAGGTGATTTAGCTTTTTTTGAGGGGTCATGTTATATCTTGCCTTGAGCACTAAAATCAGCACCAGTTGGGTTCATTCACCTCCTAATTGCACTTTGACTTCTCCTTAAAAATCCCTTGTGACAAATCCAATGCACCATCATTGAAGGTGTTGAAAGTCTTCCGTCTGTGGCCGGGCGGTCTCGGGCCTTACGTCTTAGGGCGGCCTGAGGGTTGCGATAGAGCCAGGCCAACTCAAACCAGACTACTGCGGTCACCATCCATCTGGATTCAGTCAGGCTGACAGGCAGCGCAGGGCTCCTCTTGACCTACCTGAGAGTCGGTTAAAGCCCCAAATTGTTTCCTGATTTGGCTTGTGTGAATTTTCAACCCTTGTTAAGAAGCGTTTTACAAACTGAACCTTCCGCCCCTCCAAGGCTCCCGGTCACCAGCAGCTGCTACGGTTAACATCAGCAAAATTTCCTGTGCTGTGACCTCTGTGAGGTCGCCATACATTGCAGGTAAAGAAAACACGCCGGCCGGTAGCTCTGAGACGAGCATTACATCAGTACGCTTGTGTGTGTGTGAGGGGGGGACGAAATCTTTTTGGTTGTATTTTACCACATTGTGATTTCACAACCAAACTATCCACTGCAATGGATGCCAAGATCAACGTCATCCGTCTACATCTCAAACCAGTGCTTTGGTGTTAAGCTACGTCAAGGCTGATGTCTGTGATCATTCCCTGCTTTAGATATCAGGAAGATATTTTTGTCATCATGGCTCATGAAACGTTCTTTGTGTTTTGAGTGAAACATGCAGACTGACATTACCTCTCGTACAACACTGTCTGTGATCTCTCTGTATTTTCTCTCTGTATTTTACCATGACTACATGATAAAACAGAATAAATGAATTTTTTTTTTTTATAAAATCATAAATTAATAATAAATAAAAAAAAGTAAATGCTAAATGTTTTCTTTCAAGTGTAGATTAGGGTTTGGGTTAAACCATGTCCTAACCAAGTATGACTTTGACAAGCAGGCTGTGATTTCGCAGCACTACACCAGTTATTATAGTTTTGAACTTTTAATATAGTTTTTATTTCTATTTTATTTATAATTAATCTTTTTAGTTTAGTTGTCAGTTTTTGTTAGTTTTCACTCTATCATTGTTAGTTTTCTTTCCGTATTAGTTTTTTTGTTTGTTTTTGTTTAGTTTTTAGAGTTTTTCTACATTTTAATTTTAGCATTTTAGGACTGCCAAAGTTAACGTGTTTTAAGAACTGGTCTCATTTAAAAATCATTGCATTTTGAGAATAATAAAAAAAAAAAACGGACTGATTTTTATTATAAAGATTTTTTCTAACTGAAAAGTTCTCTGTGTCCATTTTATAGTTCTGCATTTTTTATTTACTTTTTATTTTCAGTTTATTTTTAATTTGTCTGTTTAGTTTAGTTGTCAGTATTTGTTTTTCCTCTATTGTTGTTGTGTTTTGTATGTATTGTATGTACATAGAATTGTATGTAGTTTTAGTATTTTAGGGCTGTCAGTTAATAAATGGTGCAATTATTTTTGTCCAGTTATGCAGTTTTATTTTAATTCATTTTATTTTATTGCGTTTTCTTCAACAATGGTAACACTTTGCCACTCCGAGGAGCCCTGCCCACTGTGAAATCTCTTTACTCAACATCGCATACGCAACAGTTTCACATCAAGTAAATGTAGACAGAACAAATTACACTGTATCTGGTTTGGACATGTTGTGTGTTGGTAAGTATAATTTAGTTTATCCTTGGTTTGTCCTCTTATCATTATATGACATTTCTTTGTACTTTAATTCTGCTGCCTTAAATTCACATTCTGCATCCTGTTTGCAAATTCCTCCATTTAATATGAATTTAAAAGGCATTCTCAATTCAATTCTAAATTAAACACAGCTCTGGTGTTAATGTGCATCAGGTTGAGGGTAAAAAGTTCAAGAGCAATTAGTCAAGACCCTCTCTAGAGAGTTCATTTGCTGGAAGCATGGAAGCGAAATCTAGGGGTTCAGTGGCTCCGAACAGGAGCAGATCAGAGCGGCGGTCTCCAGAGTCCTGGCAGGAGTTGACACAATGGAGGATTCCAGCACAGCTGCAGCAGACCTGTAAAAGAAATGAACAATGCAACCACTGGCTACGGCTCTCAGGAACACTCCATTCCATGTCATTTTCCAGAGAAGAAGAAATGGACAGAACACAGACAAAGGGAATGGATGTTATTTCATACAGCTTCATGTGAATTGATTGTCAGTATCACAAGGTTGAACTTTTAGGAATTATTCTGGACCGTTTACCGTGAACACGATTTTGAGCACTAGCATGGACCTCAATCCATGAAATTTTGAGAAACTAATAACCCAACCAGCAACTGGTACTTATCAAGAATACTGCTGAATAACACCACGAGTGGTATCTTTCTGAAGTCTTTTAAAAAAAATGTTTTATCATTATCATTAGCTGATTATGTTAACTGGTTTTATGGTGCATTCTGGGAATTTCTTGGTAGTGCACTTGATTTTGGCAATGGGACAGCTCTAGAAAGTGTTTCCTGCACAGTATACTATTTTAACCAGGGAGCGTATTGAGACACCTCATAGATACAACCATGTCTAACGGTGCAATAAAATTACAGTGCAACTAATAGCAAAAACAAGTAATTTTGAAACTTAAGTGACCAAGAAAAATATTTGACAAGAATTTTTTTTTACAATACTTTTTGTAAAAAATACAAAAGGATTCTGTGCAGGGTTGCGCAAATCAGATAATCGTCTACGTTGCACTTTGTAAAGTCCAAATGAAACCTTAATTGAGCCTATTTACTTTCTTAATACACTTTTCTGGTATTACTGTGTATGATTTATTGCACATTATTCAAAAGGAATAAAAAATAGACTTTTTAAACGTTTAGTCTTTTTACTATTAACTGTTTACTGACTGTTTGCAAGGATACTCACAAAGACAGGCGTTTTGAAATAATTTTGTGTATATTTGTCCATTCAAGTGCTTGAAGAGGACAAATATAACAGTTTGTTAAAACATCAAAACATAACAGTTTGCTCCGCCCCTGAAACAAGTTTTCTTTCTGATGACATCATCAAGCCCTCTTAGTTTGTAGCCCCTCCCCTCCGGTCACATAGAAACCACTTTTCAAAATCCAATTTTGACCATTTTGAAAAACAGCTACAGTCACAGCTTTGCTACCTTTAGTTAGTTACTCCCAAACACTGCCCATAATCAACTTCATTGACAAGCTCACTTTTGGCCAATAGGAAAATGTCCTACTCTGATTCCCCTTAAAATGACAACAGATGGAGATAGACATAAATTTTCCACACTCAGACACGCATTCAACTCTTGTTCACCCGGCGCTGTGACTAAGAGAACCAGCGATGATAATGTAATCTAAACTTCATCAGCTCGCTAATGGAACATCCATGTCAGCTGATAATTTCTCTCCAAAGTGCCATTAGCTTCATTAGCGTCTGGCTTCCTCTCTTTCTCGGAAGTCTGCAATTACGCCCACGCTTGTGCCGCGGTCCATATTTCAGCGGCGGTTAATTGGAGATGAATATAACATGCACATTACCTTTTGTTTTTACTTCATTCGTCTGTTCATAACGTCATCTTTATGGCAAGATACTCATCAGGTGAATGAGTAACAAATATATTTCCAACTTGACTGCAAAGACTTTAAATATATATATATATATATATATATATTTAAAATACAATCCAGCATATGCGTAGATGACTATAAGACATTTGTAGTTTGATTTCCCTAAAGAGAGTAAGGGAATAAACACTTTCTCTGTGATTCTATCAAAACCTTGTTTGTTTATATTTCACAACCAGCCAGGCATAGCAACAGCTCAACCAATGGCGTGCATTTGGGGCGTGGCTATTGGTTTGGCTGACCAATAGCAGATGGAAACCTATTTGAAAACAATTCAGTTCTGTTTAGTAACAGAAATTACACGCCTCACCTTTAAAGACATAGTTTTGTGAGTGTGTACACGCTTCGGAAAATCTGAACAGCACTGGTCCAGTTTAGAAACCTGTCAGAAAGTGTGTTATTTTAAGGCTGCATCCTGTGGCAATGTCTCCACAGCTCTTTACTATTGTTGCAACTGTTGCTGGGTTATTCTGATGAACATTACCTCTGCAAATGCAGATAGGACTGAAATGAGATGTCACCCTCTCTGTTGATCTGTCTCTCTCTCTCCCCCTGTCTCTTTCCAGGCTTTTCCTTTGAGCTCCCTGAGTAAAAAGCAGCCCACCCTGCTGGTTGTTTGTGGTCCTGAGCAGAACGGCTCCATTGGTCTGGTGTGTGCCCGCCATCTGCGCATGTTTGTAAGTATAGAGCACTGTGCCGAAGGGCACGGAGAAAGAATGGATACCAATGGGGTGCTGTATTGTTGTTTAAAGTCAACAAGAAATCATAATTAAGCCTATTTACTTTCTTAATGCACTTTCCTGGTATTATTGTGTATGATTTATTGCTTATTCAGGGCTCAATGTTTTTTTTCTTCTACTTGTCAGTCAGGCCAGTGGTATAGATTTTTACTTTAGTTTGTAATTGTTCATCAAAACATAAGAGCTTGCTTGGTGTCTGAAACAAGTTTTTATTCTGATGACATCATCAAGTCCTCTTAGTTTTCAGCCCCTCCCCTTCTGTCATATAGAAACCACTTTTCAAATTCTAATTTGATAAGTAAAATCAAGCCCTGCCCTTAATGTTTGTTATCGAATATACTGTTTCAGCCAGAAATACGGCACATTACAAAAGTAAAATGGGTGTGCGAATGCTTTTTATGTTGATGTTAATTTTATCTTTATTAAAGGAAATTTGTATGGAAGCCTATTTCCGCTACGGAATGAATTGCGAGATAAAAACTTGCAATTTCCTTTTTGTTTATTTATTTTTATTAGAAACAAACACAGAATTGTGAGATATGACTTTTTCTCACAATTCCAAGTTTACATCTCAAAATTCTGAAATTATATTTCACAATTCTGACTTTTTTCTCTAAATCCTGAGTTTATTTTTTCCCTTGCAATTGCAGGTTTATATCTCACAATGCAGACTTTTCTTCTTCGAATTGTGAGTTTATATCTGGCAATTCTAAGTTTATTTCACAATTTTGAGTTTATATATCCGAAAAATGTTCAAATTGCTTCATTAAAAGTCACAATTACCTTAATTTAGGACTATTTGCTTATCGGCTAAGGGACAAAATGTTAGATGTGATAGACAACTGTGCCTAACGGTTAGGGAATATACTCCAACACGTCATTTGGCATTCAAATTTAGCTTACAACATTTCCAATTCCTGATTTTAGCAGTGAAAAAAATAAAACAATAAGAAAAAAAATGATCCACCATGCTCTTCTGTGATGCTAGATTTATGGAGCATCAGTATTCGTCTAATAAACGTACACTCTGTTAAAGTTATCCTTCTTTTCGTTCTGTAAAGTGAAGCTTGGCCAGTCCAGATTTGGCCAGTTTACAATATGAGATTCTTGGAACGAATAAAAAACTTGGAGTGAAAAAAAACTAACAATAGAGGGTCATCACATGATGGCAGCTGTTTTATACATTCCCACCGTACATCTGCATGGACTCTTGTGTCCGTACCAACATTATGTAAGAAATACATTAAGTTTAACTGCAGGATTGTAATGAACTTACCCGGCAACTTATCCAGACTGTATGCACTTTATCCTGTATCCCAAGCAAATGAGGTGTACAAAACCATAACTTTTAGTCCACATTAATCACTTCTAATGTTCTTCTGAAATTAAATTATGAGGTAATTATGTTTTGTGATTTATGAACTCAAAAATCCCCCTGCATATCCACAGGGATGACAAAATACTACTTTAAAAAACAGAAAGCTTTATTGGACACTAAGCATGAACTGTCTGGTTCATGTATGGCAATCATGTAACACATTTTCATATCTGTTTTTCACAACTAAAGGACATATTTAAAAAAAAAATGTGTTAATCATCTACCTCATCTCTTTTTAATGTAGGAATATGAGCCCACCATTTTCTATCCCAAGCGTTCGCCTCAGAGTTTGCACCAAGACTTCACCGTTCAGTGCGAGAAAATGGACATCCCTTTCCTGTCCTATCTTCCGACGGAGGTAGGTGTCAATCTTGAATAATGAAGCTCAGCCCATCGGCAGAGAGATGTCAATGTGATGTTCACTCTTCTGGACATCTGTCAATCCTAATCGAATCCTGTCTGACCTCACGATCAGGTCCAGCTGTTAAATGATGCCTACAATCTGGTGATCGATGCCATCCTGGGACCAGAAACCGACCACAAGGAGGTTAAAGAGCCCTATGCTGGGATGCTGGTGACTCTCAAACAGGTCAAAATACCCATCGTTAGTGTGGACGTGCCCTCAGGTATTTTCTCATTAAACATTTTTGTGTTTTTGCCAGTGGCATTCTTTAGTGTGCAGTAGCACAATGAAAAAAGATGTTACATTCAGTAAATACAGTGGCTACTTGCTAGAAAAAGAAAACGTTTCATGAAAAGGGGCTCAATCTGTTCAGAGGAAGGTTTTGATTATTTTTGTCAGACTCAGCTTATCAAGACATAAGGGCGATCTAAGAGCATGGTCTAAAGCGCACGGCGCAGGTGCACTCAGGGCGTGTCCGAATCCACTTTTGCTAGTTTAACGACGGGAAAACGGTCGGCGCGCCCGGCGCATGGTCTAAACGGGTTGTCCCTATTCTTTTAATGAGTAATGGGTCTTTTTTGGGCATAACGTGCAATAAACCAATCAGAGTCTCATCTCCCATCCCCTTTAAAAGCCAGTTGCGCTCGCGCCATGGTGGGTTCGCTATTTACATGGCGGAATGTAATTTTTCATTTTTACAAATTTTTGTGTAATAAGCAAAGTGTACACACGTTTGCACCCACCTATAGGCGCATATTACTAACGCGCTCTTTAAATAACAAAGAAAAAATTTTGCGCCAGACTTTAGACAAAGTTTGAGTTGGTCTATGGCACAGTCTATTTTCAGTTCCTCAAAATAGCAAAGCACCAACAATGCGCCTGAACACACCTCTTTTTTAGACCAGCACGCCCATGGGCGCACAAATGGGCGCAAATGCATTTGCTATTTAAACAACGTGGCGCAGGACGGGAAAATGAGAACTGCGTCGGGCTGAAACTAGCAAAAACCTTGCACAGAGTGTATGATAGGGCCCAAAAGCATTAGCTTTAGCAATCTTCGACACACTCAAAAAAAGTTCTAACACACCAACCGAAACAAATACGAAGTGCCTGTTTTTACACACTGAACATCATTTGTGTAATTCTTCACAGCTAAGTATATGCACTGTAAAGTCGGATTTGCTACATATGTTAGCATTCTACAAAATGTTCATTTGCATGATTATGCACTAAATTTTGTTGTTTAAGTGTTCGGAAAACACGTTTAATTATTTTGTTATTTAGTTTGGTCATGGTAGTGGCACAGAAATTACTTTGGCTTTAGCATTAGCTAGTAGCTATTAGCTGCGTTCGCTAATAACTGCTAGATAATAAATACTAGATGGTAAATCACATACTAGATCAAATTATATATTAGGGAGAAATTGATTACTTACATGTTCAAGGCTAATAGCTACCAGCTACTTAATTAATTAGAATAAATCAAACTGAATGCTAGATAAACTTTAAAAAACAAAAGAGTGTTGATACATTTTAGAATGCAAAATAGTCGTCATATTGAGAAATGGATTTCTAACACGTTCAAGACTAATAGCTACTTAATTACGTAGAATAAGTCAAAATGAATACTTGAAAAACTTGGAAAAATAAAAGATTGTTGATATATTTTTGTAAGTATGCAAAATAGTCATCATATTGTTGAGAAATGGATTACTGACACATTTAATAGCTAGCTACCTACTTAATTACGTAGAATAAGTTAAACTGAATACTAGATAAACTTAAAAAAATAAAAGTGTTGATACATTTCTGTAAGCATGCAAAATAGTTGGCATATTATTGAAAAATGGGTTACTAACATCTCCAGATGTTTCAACTGATGAAATCTGATTTATGTAACCAATTTTTCTGATAAATGAGCTGACCAGAGACTTTAATGTGCAAATGTCTTGCACTGGACCTGAAGTGTTTGCAAAACAGACAAATTATCAAACTAAAGAAAAGTCACAGCCGTTATGTCATCGGGAGACCAAATTTGAAAATTGCGTCTGATGGCTGACACTGTAATTTTTGTGCTCTCTTTCCACATGACAGTAGTGTGATGAATGATCTCTACGAGCCAGTTTTCCACATCTTATCTGGAAGAATATAGAAACATTGCTATATTTCAGTTAAAAACCAGTGGCTTGTGATGGTGAGAAAGGATTCACTCTTTCTATCTCTCTTTCCTAAAGGTTGTGATGTTGACGAACCCGCCAAAGATGGGATAAATCCAGAAGTTCTCATTTCTCTGACAGCTCCCAAAAAGTGCGCAACGGGGTTCTCAGGAAAGCATTTTCTGGCGGGACGATTCCTGCCCTATGACATTCAGAAAAAATATGAACTTAATCTGCCAGAATTCCCCGGCACGGAATGTGTTATAGAACTGTAGCCATTTATACAGACTTGTATTTTGAATAACAAGGATGTTTTTTCCCCCTTTTGTATTTTATAGATTGTTCTGTGGCATTCAGTTACTGACAAATATGACTAGATACTTTGGATAGTTAAGGTGAGTTTTCTGTGGAAGCTTGTTTCTTTTACAGAATGAAATAATGCAAAAGGTAATTGCTAATGAATCTCACATTTATGATTTTTGTCTTGAAATTCTGAGTATATATCTCACAATCCGGCTGTATAAACTCGCAATTCTGAGAGCAAAAAAAGATTTCTCACACTTTAGAGTTTACATCACACAATTCTGACTCTTTTTTTTTTTTTTGCTACGGAATTAAAAACTAATTCTAAATGATAATTTAGTGTCTTTTTATCTCACAATTCAGACTTTTTTTCTCACAATTGTGAATTGTAACTTTTCTTCTCAGAATCATGAGTTTATATCTCACAATTACAAGTTATAAACTCACAATTCTGTTTTTATATCTCGCAATTCTCACTTTTTCCCCCCTCAGAATTACAAGAAAATCGTAATTGCCTTTTAATTTGTTTAATCTTGTGGCAGAAACAAGCAATCAGTCCTAAGAGATGGGTTTAGAATGATTCAATTTGGCAAATTTTTGACATTTACAGTATGTCTAACTTTTGAGTTCTCAAAACCGCCAATATTCAGTTTTGTTTAAAACATAAGTCTTTTTAATGTTAGATATATTCAAAGTGCATTACCCTGATAGTGCCTCCAGTCTAATGTGCACGACACCTACAAACCCAACACATTTCTGCTGGAATTTTACTCCAATTACAAATTTATCTATCTGTACTTTATTAGAAAGGTGGTATAGTATAATAATAATCCCAGGATGACAAACCTGTGTAAATCATTTTCTTTTTACATTGCTCAATGTACATGTGTTTTCTTAGTTCTTATAGGTTGAATGAATAAATTATCTATGTAAAAACCGAGTTTATTCATTTAGATGCCAAAGTCGGGTGTTTAAAGAAACGTGGGATGTTGAAAACCCACGGATGTTATTATTTAGCCAAACCTTGGAAAATGTGCTCCATTAGCCAATATTTGGGAACAAGAGGTAGCTACGATATTCTTTAGACCATACAGTATATTATTTCTTCCCAGAGATTTATTCAAAAGTCAGGAAAAGGCGTGGGTGATATAAAGGAATGTTTCTGCCTAAAGCAACAACAGTTACAGTATGTGGACAGGAATACCGAAGCAGCGTAATGATTCATCGCAAACGCATTATAGGCCATTTTAGGACATTGTGTAAACTCAGATATATTCATCAAAAGGTGGACATGAACTCATCCGGAGATCATATTTCTTAGTCTGCCAATAAACATTTTACATTTCTATCCACCCCACTGAAGGCCAAAAAGTATGTTTATTGTCTTTAAACACGCATAGAGAGCTCCACAAAGGTAACCGGCAAAAGAAGCCATATGCACTCAATATGGTGACAAAGGAAAATATGAAAATCTGTTTAGACTGCAAACGAATTGAGGGAAATATATTGGTCTGTGCTTTTCTTTGCAAATTTGGCTGTTTATTCTGTTTTGATAGCACAATTGCCTGTAATCTACCATCTTTCTGACTTCTTATCCTGATTTTTTTGTCAGACCCATTTAGTGAAATATTTGCTGTGCTTCTCAAAGCTTTCAAAACAGCTGTGCAAAAATGACTCGAAATGTTGGACGACACCATGGATTGGCGTGTGAATGCATCTCCCCGTCATGGATGTGCTGGTCATGCATGATCCTAGACAGTGGAACAGGACTGTACATGTAGCATGCATGGGAATATTTACAAATGGTTAAACACAATTACCTTTGCTTATGAACCATGAGTTAGACTTCAAAGTTTGGACTTAACACTTTTAGTGTGGCACGCTGGTTTGAAACCTATATTTCACTACTCTATCAAACAGTTGAAAATGACATTAGAATGGGATGCACAATATTCATACCATATCTGCAATTCAAAAAAGTTTATTATCAGTAAGTATTGGATGTTTCATTATGCATATTAATTTCACATTTAGATTATCTTTGCTGTAATATGACACCCAAAAATGAACATTTACTCATCATCAGGTTATCCAAGATGTAGAAGAGTTTGATTCTTTGTTGGAAGAAATGTAGCATTACATCACTCGCTCACCAATGGATCCTCTGCAGTGAATGGGTGCCGTCAGAATGAGAGTCCAAACAGCTGATAAAAACATCATAATAAACATGACTCTAGTCCATCAGTTAATGTCTTGTGAAGCAAAGCTGTGAGTTTGTAAGAAACAAATCCATCAATGTGTTTTTCAAATTATTGTTTCTGGCCAAAATATCCATAATCCATAATAATGCTTCCTCCAGCAAAAAGGTCCATCCCCTGTTGTCCTCTCACATCAAAACATCAAAATGTGAAATAGATTTTTCACATCAAAAAAATCAAAATCCCAACAAAACAATCACCAACATATTTGCTTAGAACTGTTTTTACTCATAAATGGCGCTTGATCTGTGCATATTTCTCTCCTGATTCATATGAATTGCCACATGGGGAAAGCAATATAATAAGGATTTTTAAAAATTGTATTATGAACATGCAGCTTTTTGTTTCACAAGAAGTTAATGATGGACTGGATTGATGTGGATAACTTGTGGATTATTGAGATGACTTTCTTTCTGACGGCACCCATTCATAGCAGAGGATCCATTAGTGATGTAATGCTAAATTCCTCCAAATCTGTTCCAATGAAATAAACTCATCTATATCTTGGATGGTCAGAAGGTGAGTCAACTTTCATTTTTGGATAAACTATTCCTTTAAAGAAAAAAAATTACACATTTCACCTTCAAGCAATGTGAAATAGTTATTATGGATCAGTTTCTGTGACAGTTATACATTTTAAACCTTTTGGCTGTTTACAACTCCCTTTGTATGCAAAAGGTGCGTCACATTACAGTCATTTTACTGTCTGTTGCGTCAATGAATGCTGGACGAACATTCCTGCAATGCTCGACATAGTTGCATGTGAGTAAAATAAGAAAAATCCATTGTGAAATAAACAGATTTTTAAACAGATTTTTTATTAAATTAATCTGCTGTCATCACATTAACATCTTCATTCTTGGCTGAATTGAAGTAAATGGCCAGAGCATAATAAAACACACAATGTCCTGCTCAAACACCCAGTAATCCAGAATATCTTGATTAAAAACACAAACATAACATTTTTCTGATGCAACATTCACCTCTCTTCTACATCTGAGAGGTCTTTTTTTGTCTGTTGGAATGATATAAGAACACAGATGTTAGCGCAATAGCCAATGGCGAGCAGGAGGGGGCTGGTCTGGACCACTCTCCACTCCATCCTGTCTTTTAAAACTCTGGGAAGTTCACGAAACTATCAGACTTGATTTTGAAGGACGGGGGGGAAACAAACTCATTGGTCAAGCCACTCAAGAACTTGACAACTTGTGTCTTTAATTTATTTTTTGTTACCAACAGCTGCCCATCTGTGGCTGTGGCACTATGTGGGACTTCACAGTCGGGACGTTGGTGCTGTCTACCGTCTTTGTTGTGTCTCTGGCACAAGGTAATGTCATTTAAATAATCTCATAATTGTCTTAATTAGAACATGTAAGGATGTTATTCATTATGTAACAGTTTGGATACAGCCGTCAGCACGTAAGACTTAAGGGGGGGGGGAAACAGTGAGAGCTTGTTTGTTTGTGAAAGCTTAATCAACTTACATGGCTGGAGTGATGTTTAGTAAATCACACAGTTGTTGCATACAGAACTGCTTCTGTTTGCCTCACTGCTATTAATGGACACTTTGAAAGTAAGTGTATCTTATCATATTGTGATTTATGAAATTTCCTTTCAAAAGTCTTATTCAAAATAGTGTGTCACAAAGCACCATTATTTTAAACGTAATGCAAACTATTTCTGATTCCTCCCAAAAGTCTTCGTACTGGAAAAGTAAGGTAGGCTAGGACTGTTGAGGAATTCATTATTTGAATGACTGACTGTCATGAATACTGGGAAACTGCCCACCAACCCAGACTGAAATTTGGAGCAGCACCGTTTCATTTGCCTCTATTCCATTCACTGTCACTCCATCTCGCCTCCGGTCCACCTCAACTTCTCCACAGAATTTATTACCTGTTTCCCAACACGCGTAGACAGCCGGCACGGAAAATAGCACCTGACATTGCTGAGCTCTAAGTCAAGCCTTTTAAAAACCTTTAGGACTAAAATTCGGTTTTAAATAACCAGATGTCGCTCAGTCATCTGGTAATGAGCTACAAGCCCGCGCGTCCGTGCCAGCTTCATCCAGGGCACGGCGAAGCCATTTTCAACGCTCCAAAGTAAATATTGCCACTCTCTAATCTGCTCCATTCAAACGATTTATCCTCCAGATGTTTCACTTTGCTCTGAAGTTCAGCTGCCCGGTACATCAATCTCTGATGCTTTGAAGTGAAAAAGAAAGTGGAAAGAGGGATCAAAGGTAATATGCGAGGTTACATGTCTCAATTTCGCTCTTTTCCGTGAGCGGCCACTACCTGAGCGCTAACTGAATGTTAAAAAACGAACCTCATGTAGTACTCGATTCTTGGTTACCGTGATTTTACTCCAATTTACACCCCTTATAGAGGTAAAGTCACAGCAGGAAAAAGTTAATTAGTTAAAATATATAAACATATGTCTACTCTAGAAGCAACACATGTAAGACTTGTTTTCAAAGGTGTCTAATACTAGTTTATTTTGTGGTGTAAACAATCTATATAAAATATTCAAGATGCTTTTAAAAACAAGATTTTAGTTATTAATAATAATTGATCTAGTTTTATATTGTTTCAAGAATGTTTAGGTATTCTATTAACAGAAAACAAGTTTTAAAAAAGGACTAATTAATGTCTTTTTATTTAGAAAACTACTCTTCTCCAGGGTATTGGTGTATTTCTACATTAAAACCGACGCTTGAGATCAAATTTCTGGATGAAACGGTTCAAAGACAAGGAAAACCAATCCAGATCATTTTAAACACACACAAATCTGGCTGGGGTTTCATTATTATGCAGTGACAATGAAGCAGTTCAGTTTAGAATAATGGAGCACAGATGCAGCCCACTTCAGAGTCTATGGAACAGTCCTTGTCTCCTAATCTTCTTCTCAACCCAATCAGACAGAGCTCACCATCTTCCATTCGAGCACACCTCAGCCAGGACATGTGCCAGATGCACAAAACTACTTCCACATGTTTGCCGACGCAGGATAAACACACAGATAAAAC